CATCAAACCTTTCATAAATCCTCTCTTGCCCAAAACCCCCCTTCTCCCCACCTCATATAATTAATAACCCCATGATCCACCACCGCCATCAAAACATTCCTCCACCCATTCTTCAACCTAGCATACAACCTCCCATGATTCCCCTCCCACTCCCTCTTCGGCGGCGCCCAAGGCGTCTGCTCCAACAGCCCAAGTATCTCCTCCATCTGCGGCACCTCGCTCTCCTGAGCATCCACCACACTCAGATAAAAGTCCGGGCTTGGATGCCTCAGTTTTGTCCATTTTTGGGAGGACTTCCACACCAAAAAGTGGATCTCATATGGTGCTATCGATGGGAGAGGAAAAGGGAGGACGGGGGAGGGGATGTGCCTTTCGATGAGGGAGAGCTGAGAAAAGATTTGGTTGTAGGAGCGGTAGAGGCCTGGTTTGAGCAAGGGACCGGATTTGGGCGGTGATGGGGTGAAAGAGGGGAGGAGGGAGGAAAAGAAGTTTTTGATTGTGATGTTGAGACGGTAGGAGGACTGATTCGGGTTAGGAGGGTTAGGAGGAGCGCGGAGGACGTTGTAGCCGCAGCGTTTGAGGTTGGAGTAGACCTGAAATTTCTGGAGCGAGATCTTCCCGCGGGTGCCGTCCAGACCGATGAGGAGGGCGTAGGCTGCTTGGAGGGAGAGGGGGAAGCCGTCGACGTATTCGTCTTCTTCGTCTTCGCTGGCGCCCGTCGGTTGGGTTGATGGGTCGAAATCGGTGTTCTCGGGTTGGGGAGCTTCCCCTTCGACAGGGGCGGCAGGAGGTGGAGGGAAAATCTCACCAAACTCTTTTGTGGGCCACCACAGATCCAAGGACCCTCTCTCTACCAGATAGAGCGCTTCCTCGGGAAGCAACCAATCCTTCCCCCTCCCTGGCCTATCCTTCGCCTGTCCCGTCACTGCCCTCCCCAGGTTCTGCGTAGACGTGCTGGACCCCTCCAAAATCACAACTCTGTCCCTGATGTGCCCAAAAGGCTTCCTTTCCTTCTTCCCATCTTCCGCTTTTGAATCCTGCCATTCCTCACCCTCCTCATAGTCCGCCCACCAACCTGGAAAATACCAACCACGTACAAGATTGGCGCCACTGTGAATGCGAGTATAACTCAGAACCTCCTGCATAGCAGCTCTACTCTGCTCGAGGGTGTCGGCCTGGAGTTGTGTGCCATGGGACTCGAAGTCTTTCTCGCCTTTGCGAATTGTCTGCGCGGAAATATGTGTGTTCTTTTTGAATAAACTGGCAAAGACACGGAAGTCTTGTGCTGCGGCGCCTTCGTCTTCGAGGAGGTCTTCGGCGGTTTCTTCAGCTGGGGCGTCTGGGGTCGCGGTGGTTGTGTTTGCTGTGGGAGGAGGGGCCGCAAGGGCGGGGTTATCGTCGTCGTCGAGGGCCATTCCGTGTGCTTTTTGTGGGATTCGCCGGTAAAGTATTCGTTGCGGCCAAGATATCGTCTAAATTCAGAAAAATCTTCACTCGAGGTCGCAAGCTCTGTGGTTTGTGGTTGGTGGACGGTTGACTCCTAAATTTTTGTATCTTTGCGGCAGGAAGGCTTTCCGGCATGGATGACCCACACTGGAGTGGTTCCCGGCAGGCAGCGCATTTCCACCAACATAACCCGTTATTGGCAAGTCGACCACACACCATTGTATAGAAAGCATCAAAAGTGGTAGAATAAGTTTTCTTCTTTTTTATTGTCTTTGGAATATGTAACTGTGAGCCAAGACTCCGTCAAATGTCCCCTAGCTTCTATGTGGCGTCTCTATGTTGCCTGGCCTTCTGGTTGACCAGTCTTGCTTCTTGGTTTTTGGGTATCATCTTATTCTCGTCGCCTCTCGACTTTTGCGCTCTTTCCGTTTGGGTTGCTAGCTGGTGCGTGAGATAGTACTCAACTCCAGCCGGCGCCCAGTTTAGCGCCAAATGAAGGGGGTAGATGGCAGAATGCCTAGGCAGATACATGATGCCGGTCGTGCATTGTAGTTTGCTCCAACCTCCTACCCTGTTTCTCACTTGGCCAGTGGATTCGCATGTAACGTTACTCTCTCAATCCTCGGTGTCTCTTCTCCGTCCTTCTTGACCGGTCTGCCCTTCTTGTCCACCTCCAGCTGTTCAATCTTGGCCAAGGTAGCCAGACTCTCGTCTCCAATCAGCTTCCCAAACACCGTGTTCAACCCGTCCAAATGTGGCGCGGGGGCGAAACATATGAAGAATTGACTGCCGTTGGTGTTAGGCCCTTTATTCGCCATACTCACGACTCCTCTTTCGTGGTGTTTAAGTGTTGGTCGGATCTCGTCTTCGAAGGTTATCCCGTATATCGATCGGCCGCCCTTCGGGTTATCTGGAGGTGATGGAACAGCGGGCGCGCCGGTCTGGAACATGAAGGACGGAATTATTCGGTGGAGGGGAGAGTTGCTGTAATAGTTCGAGGCGCAGAGGGCGAGGAAGTTCTACGAAATGTTTAGTGGGAGCGAAGGCGCAAAGGACATATTAGACAAAACATACCTCTGCAGTCTTGGGGACGGCCTCGCAAAACACCTCAATTTTGAGGTCCCCAAGAGTCGTGTGGAGCGTTACTGACATGGTAGGTGTGGTAGAATCGATCAAGTGTTGTGCTTGCGGAGGTGTGTTGTGACAAAAAGCAGTGAACGGGTCTGGGCCCGTGTTGACGTCGGTCGTCTGAACAGGGGCCCTTCTATCAGAAAAGCTTGGCGGGCGGAAGCCACATGCCTTGGGGAGCTATGACCACCATCTTGTTTCATGTTCATGTTGGTGTTCTCGACATGGACATGACGACACCACATTTTGACTTGGAGAGCAATCGAATGTCTAAGCCTTCCTGGTGTTGTTTGTTTGTTTATGTTCTGGATGGTATCTACCAGGCTCGTGTCACTTATCATTTGGCTTGGTGTACCGGCACCTCGACATTAGCTTAAACCGTCTCACAAGTTTACAACGGTCATCACACGTGCCCCGCACTTCGATGGTTAGAGAGAAGCCCGAAACTCCCAACGTTGGCTGGAGCCAAGATGGTTGCTTTTGGACCAACACATCGGTCAGCAAAATGAGTCTAGTCCTGCAGGAACCACTGATGAGGATCCGTCCGCCCGCCGCAAGTCATGATTTCTGATAGTGTATGTGTTTTGTAAGTTGCTGTGAGGAACCACGATCCACTTCGGTTCCCACCTCTCGGCAGCCCTGAGCTTGGACTTGGACTTGGCTCTTCTACTTCGTAGCTGGGCCACTCGCACAGACAGGGCAGGCAGGCATTCAGATTTCGACATCGCAAGGCTGCCTCTCTCAGTCTCTCTCACCTTTTTCCTATTATCATCCCGCTGGCCCAGCAGTTCAGCCGTCTCACCTCCTGCAGGCAAAGCAAGCCCGCTGAGACTGTCGTCGTCTCTGCCCGGGGCGCTGGGTCGCTGTGTCTTTGTTCCCCCTACTCCACCTGTCCCGCTGCCGCTGGCTTCTGTTAGAGATCTCGAAACCTCACATCTCGGACCTAGCAGCTTTGCCTCACACGGAGCCTTCCCTCCTTAATTTATAGGACCGTGACTATAGCTGCCGACCGCTGGAAGTTTAAGGCGGGCCTTGGTACTAGTGGCTTTTGGAAAAGGACCTACCTTCATACCTAAGTTGCTCCCCCTCAAGAAACCTGAAAGGAATTCCCATTTCCCTTTCGGCCTTGGTTGCAAGGTGGGTATCACTAGGTTGTCGCATTGTAAACTCCGGGGTCGGTATCCCGCTGTGAGATCGCCCAGCCGCAGAGTCCACTGAAAGGCAAGGAACCCGCAGGAACACGCCGGGCTACAATCTCGGCGCAGACAGCACCCAAGTCACCAACGCACCTGAGCGGCCGAGCTCGACGACACAAAGACACACGGCGGCTCGAGGGGTCTTTTCATTTGGCCCCCTCCTCCCCTCTCACACCCCCCCAACGACTGCTAAAAAATAAGCCTGCAACACAGCAGCCTCCATTCGTACTCCATTCGTATCCAACCCGTCGTTGCTTGCGTCTTGCAAGAGATCCTCCACCCACCTTGGAAACCCCCCTTCGCCCATTTCCCAGCAGCACCGACACACGCGACGAAAGAAGACCTCGACTCCAGTACAGTGTGCCTCGCTGCGGCGGACGCCGAAGGTGATGTCCATGGTTGTCGCAACCTCACCCAGCTTATCGATACAGCGCCGGCGACACCCCAGACGAGCCCCTCACCTCGGACAGCCCTCACGCCCGATCCCATCGCTTCAAGCCGACGTCTGCGGGACGGTCCTGTTATTGATGATCGGCGAAGGCCGCCGCGGCTTGCCTGAACGACAATAAACGATAATAACGGTAAAGTTTAATTGGAACCGGTGCGGGCGCCTCACCCACCAGCAAGATGAATAATACAGCTGCGACTGTGAGGATATCCGGGCCTCCAAACAGCAGCTTTCTGGTCGGCTACCCGGGCATCTCGGCGACACTGGTGCGCTCCCCTTCCTCTTCCTAGCTTTTGGTATTCGTATGCAAGTTGAATCGACAGGGCGCATTGCTAACATCGTGTAGCCCAGGATAGTAGGCAAAGTCGAAATTCGGCCGGGTGCAGGCTATACAGCGCCAGTGCAAATATCCATGGTTCGCATATGCTTACAGCGACGAGAAACGATACATCCAGCGGCGGAAAACATGGCGCGGAGGCATCTGGGCACCCCGAGACGAGAGACGGTCGATTTAGTAGGGAAGGAAGTGCTGCTGTTCCGGTGCGTGTCGGGAAAAGAGGCCGAGAGCGTGATTGCGATGGATCTGCCGTTCCAAATATTCATCCCTTTCGGACGGGGCGGCGAAGAAGTAAACCGCCGCATTCCTCCAGCAAGCATCCAACTAGCCAGCCGAATCGCCGAAACCTACTATGAGCTGGTGGTCACAGTCCAACAAGGCTCGAGCATGCAAAACCGATACGCATTCCCAATACCTCTTCAACGATACGACACCCTCTCCACATTCGGCATGTACAACCGCCCAGAAAGCAAGGTGGTGACGGCGGACAACATTGTGACGTTGGGGATTTCGCTGCCAAAGTGGAGTTATGGGCCATTAGATCCCATAACGGTGTACATTAAGCTCGCGCCAAATCCGGACTGGCTGAACAAGGCGCGGAAGGTGACGATACAAAAGATCACGCTGGCCATCGAGGAGGAGATCACGTTCAACCCGGAAGGAGACGAGCCAACGAAGAAGGTCAGCAAAATCGCCAAACACACGCAGCAGGTAGGGACCAAGATCCCGGAAACTGGATATGTTACCAACTTGGGGCTCGTGTTTCCTGCGCGAGACCTTAGGGATTCGGAGGGTATTGTGAAAAGGGGCAAGCCGGGATTTCCGCTATATGAGGTCACCAGCTTTACGACGACGTCGATACTGTACAAAATTGAATTCTTTTTGACGATCAAGGTGGGTGCGCGCACATGGAATTTTCAGTGGGTCTTGTCTAACCTTTTTGCTAGGCACATCTAACATCTGCCCGCGATATCACATTACGGCAACCAATTGTGATTTGTCCAATGGACCAACAGGCTTGCAAGGAGGAAATGGATGCTATTGAGCAAGCAGCGAAAGATGCCTCACATGTTGACCCAAATAACCCAAAGCTGCCGGATCGAACGATCATCTTGGCACACGATAGGGAGGCCATTCGGTACCTGGGGCTGTGCGAAGTTGGAGGGATGAAGAAGATGCTGATCGAATAACGGCCGACAGCAGATGGATGGCTGGAAACGGGAAGCACCAAACGAAGAGCGACGAACCGCCGGATTCAACCTCTCCATCGCCCTCTGGATCGAACTCGCGTCGCGCTCTTTCTTTTCGGTTGTATCACACGAATTTTTTGCGTCAAATAAGTTACACCTTGACTAAGACGCCGTCACCGTTGCTCAACGAGATATTTACGAAGACAACCGTCTGACGTTCGGAAGAGACAGCTCTCGGATAAAAAAAAGAGTCCCACAGCGCTTTGACAACGACGAAAGAATAAAAGGACCTTGAGGCCCCAGTACACCATGCGCAAGGGCCTGAACCCAGATTACTGGGAATGAAGAAGCCTTTATATTGCGCTCTACTCTAGCCACTGACCAAATACATCGCTTCAATGGCGGGGGTAGTATTATAGCCCAAATGAGCGATGGGAGCTCTAGATGGACTAACTGACGTCCCTATGGGCCACTCGGCGTGGTGACCCAGAGAGTTTATTATTGGGGTGATTTGGAAGGCGTTGAAACTTGAAAGAGGGGGAGGGGGTCATGTTTCTGATGACATGGTGTTATATAAACGGTTGGGATCATGATGGATTTGTTTGATGTCCTGAAATGGACGGGAATACCCCGTATGTTTTGCATCTGACGATGATTTCTTCTGTCAGCTTCGGGGGAAATGAAGGAGGGGGGGGGGGGGTTTGGATGTATATGTACCTATAGTTAAACAACGCCACCAGCAACAAGGTTGGTGATGATGATGATGAAGGATTAGTTGGATGGAATTTGATGGAGGAGAATAAGATGATTTTAAGGTGGTGATATCCCAACACCAGACATCCATCCGATTTTATCAGTGTTTAGATGCAAAGTAGCACATATGGGCACATATACAGGAGTGAAGCGATCACCAGCCAACTCGCCCAATGTTGTCTCTCTCGGTTTGCTCGTACACACATACACACACTACACACATACTCCACACCTCTAATTCCCTTTTTTACTCTCATCTCACCAGGCCATCTTTATTGAGCTATTTCATAAAGTCATACTCACTTTTCCCATCATCCCCATCCAATCCCCATCCCCATCCCCATTTTATGCAAATGTAAAGTGTTATGTAAAGAGACCAAAAAATTAACAAACCAAGCAAACCAAACAACCGAGTAGGAGAGTGAGTAAGGTAGGTTTTTAAAAAAGGCAAAAAAAAAAGAAATATAAAAAAACCATAGGAGGATATCTAAAACTGCTAACCATAAAAAAAAAAAAGCAAGGATAAAACACAATAGAAAGCCACCCCAACCAACCCCAGAAATTATCATCATCATCCCAACCAACCAACCACCTCCATTCCTTCCCAATGATTGTGTGAGTAGGTAAGGTGAGGTGCTGGTTGGCGTAATGATTCCGTGCCCCTCAGCGCCATAACCCCCCCTTTACCATACTTAACCTTAACCTACCCCTAATCCCTAATCCGAAAAACACTACTCCTCCACGTATCCTTCCACCAGAGTTTTGTTTTTTCTGTGTTTGTTTTGTTTTTGTTTATGTTGGGCCTGTACCGTCGGGATCAATGTGGCTACGTCCCTTGACAAGTCTATCTATGACTTGTCTGCAACCCCCCCTTAACAACACCTGGTAGGTTAGCAAAGTCGACACCCTCAAGTCCAACTCCCTCACCAGCCTACACCCCTTGTCGTATGGCCTCAAAAATAAAGTCCCCCAAACACATCCCCTCCAAACCCACCCCCCATCCCTTCCTCCTCATGATCCTCCGACGAAATGTAAGAGTGATTCTACCCCCTCCTCCTCCTCTTCGGATCCCTCTCCGGACTATCCGTCACCACCCCGTTCCCAACCCCCCCAATCTCACTCCTCGTAATCTCCTCCGTCCCGGCTGGACTAGGGCTATTAGTAGCCGAAGTAGTCTCAAACACCCTCCCCGTATCCAACAAGCCATCCTGCCCATTGATCCCCAGCCCAGCACCCCCACCACCACCCAACATCCCATTATCCGCACCCGCAACACCACCACCCCCAAACTCTGCCCCACTACCAGGAGCATCCAGCGAAAAGTTAAACTCATCCGGATGACCACCCGCGTTGAACCCATTGAACTCATTGTCTCCAAAGCCGGTCTGGTTAGCAAAGGCATTGTTATCAACAAACTGGTCAAAATCGACAGAGTCAAAATAACTAGTGTTGACGTTGCCGTTCTCGTCCATACCGGGAATCCGGCCAGAGGGGCTGAGCGGACCGAGGAACTGGGTCAGGTTCTCAAGCTGAGAAGCCTGTTGAGCTTGAAGGCGTTGAAGCGCGTCGATTTCTTGCTGCGTCGCCTGGAGTGGTTGCAGCGGCGGGGGAATAGGCATCGAGGCGAGGATGGGAGAAAGCGATAAACCGGCTGTGGTCTGTGGGCTGGCAGCGGGCAAGGAAACACCGCCGGGACTAGAGACAGATGGGATACCGCCGCCGTTCATGGACGCGGCCGGGGTTGTCGCAGCAGAGCCATTGTTCATGATGCTCAGCATCTTGTTGCGGTTCTCGTTGCTCATGCCTGTGACCGGGGTGGTGGCGGCGACGTTGGGGAGGTCGATGCCAGTGCTGTTGACGTTGACGGCGTTGGTGTCCTGGATGATCTTCATCATGCCCTCATGTGGATTGTCCTGGAGCTCCTTCTGCATATAGGCAGAGGTCGAGGTGGTGTCAGCCGGCGAGGTATCAAACACCTCGGTGACAGTCCCAGACATGCGAGTGTTGTACGAAGTCTGGGGCGCCGGCGAGGGTGTTGGGGACGGAGACAGGGATGTCACCACGGTCTTGTTTGCTTGGTGATGTGGGACAGGAGGCAAGAGACGCTGCGCACGTTTTGGCGTCGCCGACCCAGCAACGTTGGGAGCCCGTTGGTTGACGAAGCCGCCCAAGTCCACCACGCCTCCCGTGGCCATGTTTGTGGAGCCGTGACCTTGAGCATTGGGAATGATGCTGGCCAAAAGATCTTGGACGCTCTGAACCCCACCCTGCTCCTCCAACGACTTTCGAAAGACATTGGCCAAGAAGTTGAGAATGGCATTGATGGAGTTCTCGTGCCGCTCGTGCATGGTTTGAAACATGACCGCCTGCTGATAGAGCGAATTGTGATCTTGCCGTATCTTGTTGAGCATGCCCGAAATCGCGAGTTGCTGCTGCTGGATCCTGTCTATCTGATTCTTTACTTGTATCAGATCCTTTTTCTGGAGCGGACCGACTTCGTGAGAAACGGAGGCCCTGCCGCCCTGTGACGCTCCATGGTTTGGAACACCGTACGCTTCTTCGGTATTGTTGTCCTCCTCGCTCTCCGCCTCTCCGTCCTCCTTCTTGATCTTCTTTTTACTGCTGCCACCCTTTGGCTTGTTGATCAGCCAAAGCAGGTTCGGATGCCCGCGTCGGAAATACGGGTTTGAGTACTCGCTAGGACTCTTGTTTTTCCGCTCGCTCGCTTTCATCGAGTTGTCGGACAGCCCGACCCGCTTATGGAACCCATACATGTTGAGCTGTCGCACAAACGAAGCATAATTGTTATGCTTGAAGAGTTCGGGGATGAGCGTTTTGGCAAACTCATCTTCGTCCAAGACGATAAATGAATCGCCTTTGTCGGACCAGCGGATCAGGTCGGTGTTCCTAGACTCATCGAGAAAGCTATCGAAAGATTAGCAATTTGCAACGTGAACAAAGTGGTGAAAGGGCCCGCTTACCTGCTCAGCTTCTGAACAAACGGGGGGATCTGTTTCCTTTTGGCTTGCGCTTCCCTCTTCGCCTGAGCAGCCTTCTCCTCTAGCAGCTCGATGTTATCATGCTCGTCTACAGACGAATTCGTCTGAAGATACCGAGCATCCTCGGCAAACCCGTTCGCCCACGGCTCCCCCACCTGATCAAAGTGGCCTCTGTTGCCCGAATGGACAAGAGCACGACTGTTCCCTCGGCGGGCCAGAGCGTTTGAAGGCGCCGCAATTGGTTGCGCAAAGGCGCCTGATGTCGGCATCATGAACTGATTGACGTTTGTCGTTGGCGAGTCGACGAAGCCGTTTCCATCCATTGTTCCGTTCCACCCAAACAACCGATCCGTCTGGACAGGCGAAAATGTCTGCTGTACTGGGGGGATCGGGATCATCGAAGAGGCGCCAGGGGCCGGTCGTTTTCTCGGGTTGTTCGGCGAAGACATAACACTGTGAAGGCGAGCGCGCGCCCAGCCGATTGGGGTTTGCTTGACACCCCTCGATATAGCAGATGGCGGTTCTTGACCGTTAGGCTAGGCTCGCCCTAAGTTTGTTTGCCGGCGTGGTGGCTGCAGCCCTCGGTGACTTTTTTTTCTCGCAAAAGGCCGTCAAGAAGTTGAGGCCAAGGCTGTAGTCTTCCTTATTGTGGGCGGTTTGAAGCACTGCTGAATCCGGTCGATTTTCTGATGAAACCAGCGAGCTCAGCACACAGAGGGAGATGGATCTAGTCGGAGGGAAGACAAGCGAGAGAAAACTCTATTCAACTCAATCTGTTATATACTGCGAAGCGGAGAACAGCTTGCTCAAAGGCAGAGGCGGTCCAGGCACCTGATCCACGCGCGGGTCTGTTATTGTTCCGCGGCGCGATATCAATGCCAATGTGTGTGTGTCAGGCCTGCGAGAGTGTCGCAAAAGCGGAGAAGATAGATGTCTGGCTCGGCGCCGGGTTCTGAATAGGGCTTGTGAGGTGTCTCGGCGGTGTCGCGATATGTCAATGGGCGTCGTTGTGTGGTAGATGCTGAAGCCTCGAAGGCAGGGTTCCTGCTGAACAATGGCTTGCGTCGGGGTCTCAGTCGCCGGCTTCCGCGCTGCTTGATTTCTGGTCACGTCTGGGTGCCTCAAAGACGTCGCTGAGAGGGCTCACAAGAAAAAGTTTGGAGAGGAGCTCACTGGGGTCGTATGCTCAGGGCGCAGAGCGGCAGAGGATCGAGTGGGAAGGTTTGGGCTTTGCTAGATAAATTTGACACGATGTAAGGCCACTTGCTGGTGATGAAGGCTCACTTGCCCGTCATATGAAGTGGGCTTTGCCGGTGCGATCGCGATCAACACACCGATTTTCTCGCTTGCCGAACCAATCAGCGGTGGCACAGATAACGTCCTGTCTCCACACGCGGGGTCGATGTCCCAGCCTGTCACCCAAGACAGCTTCTTTTTTTCTGGGCGTTTGGAAGGAGGACCTCAAGGCGGTGGCAGCGGCAGTGAGGCTTTGGACACTTTCTCTCCAAAGACGTTAGTGACAATTAAGTTTGACAGCGCCGTTATGAGGTACTATGCGTAGTCTGAAGTTGTGGCCTTAATGCCTGTCAGTGGTGCAGCCGTGCATACCTGGGGAGCTGTCAGGAAACTTCTGGCCTCACTGTCGATACGGATCGTAGAACACCTTGGATTGAATGCCAAGAGATGAGTTGCAGTTGTAAGACCGTTCAAGTGGGACCAAGCCAGTTTCCCTTCTCGGTCTCGAAAACAACAAGACAAAAGGCCATGTCTGAGCAGTTCTTGGGCTAGGAACAACAGCAGATGTGAGTTCGCATGGAGAATGAGCACGCCACCATGACATGAAGACCCATATAAAACCCCCATTGAGGCCGGGGCTCGCGGAGCTGTTGTTCCGGACAGGCATGGCACCATGGGGACACATGGGACGGGACTTGGGCATCACTACCTTTGCACTGAACAATGGAGGAAGGTGACAGGAGATATTACACAATAGAAAGTGGGTATCTCTTAATGGTTACCATTCGACTGGTGGTCAGTCTCTCTTATGCTTGGCTTCCTCTACTTGCAAGAACAATGCAATTGTATCATAAGTCAGATAGCGACTGCTCCTTCTACTATCTTCTTGCCCGGTCACGCTCCCGGTCCCGGTTCCAGGCCCTTGAAGATGAGCCCCCAGACCGCGAATCCCGAGAAGACTTCTTGCCCTCCTTAAGAGCCTGCGCCTTTGCCAGGGGGTCAATAACAACCAGCTCCTCTTCCGCCTTTTTGCGATAGCTCAGATCCTTTCCAAGCTTATCTGCAGTAAAGCTGAGCTGATGAGACATCCACCCTTCGTCATCGCTCTCTTCCTTTTCTTCCTTATCCCAGGCTTCGCAGCTCTGGCAATGGGCAATGAAGTGAAGATCACAAACCTCTCCTTCTCCCTCCTCATCATCACCATCATAATTGATAGCTGGCTGGGCTGTCGACTTCTCAACTGGTGCTTGCTCCAGCTTTGACTTGAACGACCGCAAAAGCGCCAAAGCCTCCTCTTCCTCCTTTGCAGACTGCGTGCCCGGTCTCCGTTTCCTCCCACGCACTGCAGTCTCCGGTATCATTTCCTCCAAGGCCGACTTCTTCTTCTCCTGCACCGGTTCGGTGTAAATTGTTCGTTTCATCGAAGCCTTGACGGCAGCAATCTCCTCGTTAGTCCTTTCCAGCAAGGTTTTCTTTTTGCCATCTTCCGGTTCGGGACTTGACCTGTCACTTTCCTCAACCTTTGGCCGTTGTTTCTTTGACGGAACAGGCTCCGGACGATCTGGACTCCTCGCTCTGTTCTTTGGTGGCTCTTCTGTCACACGGACTTTCACATCATCCTTGTGCGTCGGCTTTGAGTCCTTCTTTGAAGATCTGACCGGCATCGTCTTTGGCGCCGGTTCCTCGTCTACATCCATGACAATTCTTGTGTCGAACTTTGGCTTCTTGAGAACTGGCAGGTCATCGCCCTCACCCTCTTCGTCTCCAAAGCTCAACAACTGCTTGGCTGGTTTTCTCTTTTTCTGCTTCTTCTCCACGGGAGCTGGTTTTGCTACTTGCTGGCGTAGCTTCTTCTCCCTCTTCTTCAAATCATCGAAAGGGTTGATGAGGATCTCGATATGGGTGATTTTGATCGGATATAGTGGCCGCTCGTCATTGACCTCCGACTCGCCAATCTTGGCCAAATTGTAGATGGTATCGCCCGCCACGCGCCCAAACACGGTATTCTTCCCATTCAACTCTTCAGCCTTGCCGAGAGTGAAAAAGAACTGGCTGCCATTGGTGTCCGGTTTTCCTTCGTTCGCCATGCCTAGCAATCCTCGCCTGTTGAACTTGAGACGCGAATGGAACTCATCCTTGAAGTTGATGCCGTCGGGGCCGGCGTTCTGTCCTCTTCGCTGGTCCATTGGCCATGGATCCAGATCACCGCTGTATGCGCCGCCATCGTAGATGGATTCTCCTCCATGTCCTGTCCCAGTCGGATCACCACCTTGGAGAATGAAGCCGGGAATGAGACGATGGAATATGGTGTTATCGTAGTAGCCGTCGAGTGCTAGCTGAAGGAAGTTTCGGCATGTTAATGGTGTTTGTTTCGCAAACAGTTCGATTGAGATTTCGCCGAGAGTCGTGTGGATGATGGCCGACGCCGTCGGTTGTGGCTCGAGATTGTAGATGGCCGACATCGTGGATTAGGTTTTACGCGCCCGAAAAGCTGGCCCGCGCCTTCGAGATGTGAAGCGGGAAAAATGCAACCAAAATAAAAAGATGACGCAGGGTTGGAGGCTGAATTGACATCAGGTCTTAAATCTGGATGACAGGAGCACAGGCGCGAGCTTCCCTGTCAAATGTTCCAAAGTTGCCGGCCGGCATCGACAAGGCACCGCCACAGTTCGAGATCTGGAACTGTGGCTGGCATGTGCTTGCTTCAAGGTGTGTGTCGCAGAAGCAGCACTAGAAGTAATGCGATGTGATCTGTTATTTTCTGTCTTTCGTAAAGCCATATCTCTCCGTTTCACTAGCAGCTTGTTGCCGCAGAGCGAGTCCCGAATACCTGTGCCTTTCAGTTGGTTTGGATGTTGTGGCTGTGCCATCTGGATTCATGATGTGGTGCGGGGCCCAGCAGGGGACAGGCCTGGGCGGCCTGCTTATCACCGACGGTCCAGCTTGGAGCTTGCGTCTTCAGGCTACCCGCATCCACTGGAGCTCCTCCATCGTCGTGCATTCACAACCAACTTGCCAATCCACTTACCAGCCTCTCGACCCTCTAGACAGCCTCCCGAGCCGGCCTCGACTTTCGCATTGATACCTCGCGCCTGTTTTTGCCCTGCACAACCTCCAAAACCACCATGAGCGACCCCAGAGATCCAGCCTCCTACCGGGTGACGCCCAGGCTTCGCTACAACACCGTCGGTGGTGTCAACGGACCCCTCGTCATCTTGGACAATGTTGGTCTCCCGCTTCTGCTTCCGCCTTACCACCACCACATCTCTGCTAACTCTGTGATCCTTCCTCCAGGTCAAATTCCCCAGATACAATGAGATTGTCAGCCTGACTCTTCCCGATGGGACTGTGCGTTCCGGTCAGGTCTTGGAGGCTCGCGGTAAGCACTGTCGCTATACCAGGGACCTATGCTGTTACTGACGGTATCTCTACAGGAAGCCGCGCCGTTGTGCAGGTATATACCAACCGAAACGGAACACAAGCGATCCACATATGTTAATCGATCTTGCAGGTTTTCGAGGGCACCTCTGGCATTGATGTGAAGAAGGTGAGACTGCCGAGCGCATTGGGAAATACATAGGCGGCAGCTAACTCCAACCAGACCAGAGTTGAAATGACCGGAGAGAGCTTGAAGCTCGGTGTCTCTGAAGACATGCTGGGTCGTATCTTTGATGGTTCAGGTCGTGCCATTGACAAGGGCCCCAAGGTCCTGGCTGAGGAGTTCTTGGACATCAACGGCAGTCCTATCAACCCCTACTCGAGAGTAAGCTTCACTACATGCCCTACCAAAGCCATGCGCTAATAGAGAACAGGTGTATCCCGAGGAAATGATCTCGACTGGCATCTCGGCCATTGATACCATGAACTCGATTGCCCGTGGCCAAAAGATTCCCATCTTCTCGGCCGCTGGTCTTCCCCACAACGAGATCGCCGCTCAGATTTGCAGACAAGCTGGCCTGGTTCAGCGCAAGGGTGTGACAAACAAGGGCGTACATGACGATCATGAGGAGAACTTCTCCATCGTCTTCGCTGCCATGGGTGTCAACTTGGAAACTGCTCGTTTCTTCACCCGCGATTTCGAAGAGAACGGCAGTTTGGAGCGCACCACCCTCTTCCTCAACCTTGCCAACGATCCTACGTAAGTAATGAACAACAAACTCTGGTTTTTGGGTCTGGTTATTAACAATAACGGCAGTATCGAACGTATCATTACACCTCGTCTCGCGCTTACTACCGCCGAGTACTATGCCTACCAACTCGAGAAGCACGTCCTCGTCATTCTCACCGATCTTTCGGCCTACTGTGATGCTCTTCGTGAGGTCTCTGCTGCTCGTGAAGAAGTCCCCGGTCGTCGCGGTTTCCCCGGTTACATGTATACCGATTTGTCGACCATCTACGAACGTGCTGGCCGTGTCGAAGGCCGCAACGGTTCGATTACTCAGATCCCCATTCTCACTATGCCCAACGACGACATTACGCATCCCATTCCTGATTTGACTGGATACATTACCGAGGGTCAGATCTTCGTCGACCGTGGTCTTTACAACCGCGGTATTTACCCTCCTATCAACGTGCTTCCGTCGCTGTCCCGTCTGATGAAGTCTGCCATTGGTGAGGGCATGACTCGCAAGGACCACGGTGATGTATCCAACCAGCTGTACGCCAAGTATGCCATCGGTCGTGACGCGGCCGCCATGAAGGCAGTCGTTGGTGAGGAGGCATTGTCTCCCGAGGACAAGAAGTCTCTGGAATTCCTCGACAAGTTCGAGCGGACCTTTATCAACCAGGGCCCGTACGAGGGACGCACCATTTTCGAATCTCTTGACCTCGCGTGGAGCTTGCTTCGCATCTACCGCAAGGACATGCTCAACCGTATTCCTGCCGACATCATTGACGAGTTTTACTCGAGAACCCCATCAGACCGCAAGGGCAAGGACAAGGCCCCTACCAAAGACACCAGGGATACCGAGGCGCCCCAGGAGGAGAACCTTATCGATGCTTAAACGAGGGTGCAAGATAACCGATGCATAGAGCCTGGGGAGCGGAATGCTCCAGTGACCAGGTTCGGGAGAGTGTTCCTTTTATTAATGCGTTCAAGGCTCTGTTTCCTTCTAGGCTTCGTTCTGTATGGGTAGCGCAAGACTTGTATATGATAGTATCGGACGGTTTTGGCGGGTTGCAGATTGGAATTCGACAGTGTTTTATGGTTACGGAGTATAGCCAGTGATGCATTTTAAGCATGTTGTTTTGCCGACTGCCAATGCCATTGGCGCGCATGTATACCCTGGCTTGTGCTGCGATGGTGCCAAAAGTGCAAATCAAGAGAATGCTGAGATAGAAGCTTGCTTTTGAGTGAAGCATAATAGGTCTCTTTGTGAGGATGTCTGTCATTGTTTCCAGAGATACTGTCCAAGACCCCGACTGACAGCAGTATAACACTGAGAGACAGTGATAGGTAGTCTCTCCATTGGCTTGGCAGGAATTCAACTAAGCTCCAGCTTCCTATCGACAGCGGGAGAAGAATGCGGAGATAATTATCCCCGCATTCCTTCGTTTCCATCGACAGAGCTCCAATGGCGAAGGCAGAGCCGCTCCAATGATTGCTTGTTAAGACGTCATCCCATTCGCGTAGCTGCTTGCAATTATTCCGCGAATGTTTAGCAAGCAAGTGAGTTGATGTTATTTTGACCTGGGGAATTCGGTGTTCTTGTTGCTGGGAGTTTGGTGGTTGTAAGTGACGCATCCCATTGAGCTGATGATTGTTTTTGATCGTGACCAAATAAAGTATCATTTTTGCTTTCATTGGTGTCAATGGAGAGCATCATTGGAGGCTTCAATATCCCATGGCTGCAACGGTTGTGGAGAATCAAGGAAGGTAGCTAACGGTCTTTGCAGTCACACAGCATTCGGCATCGTATATCGAGAGTTGGATGTATATGTATATGCCGGCCCGCGGTCACTCGTTGCGACCGCCGACCGACCTGGACGGCGGGAAAACTGAGATCTTCCCCCGTGTGACGCTCACTTCACCTCGTGGTCACACCCTCGTTTACCTCCTCGCCTGGAACGAAAAAGAGTGGCTGGTTGGCTGGCTGGCGTCAAGGTTTCTTCTTCATCCCAAATAACCGGATGCAGGTTCGCTCTTTCCCGCCTTCACCACCTACCGGTCTGGAGATCTCCCCTCTCTTTGCGCGCGCGCGTGTGTGTACCTGGTGACTTGCCTGCCTTGGTTGGAGGGTTGCTCTGCTCGTAAAGGTTCCATACTGATGGGATGAGATTGGGGGTTGGTAGCTGTGGGTTATATTAAGGCACCGTTCTCGCCTCTCTCTCTTTCTTTCTGTTGACTCTTTCCCCTCAACTCATGACCTGAGTGAGTCCTACCTTCCACTCTCTCCCAGGTTGGTGTCGGTACCAAAACCAACATCCCACCATGCGTCTCTCTCTCCTCCCCCTGGGAGCTTTCCTCCTTGCCACCCCTACCTTATCCGTCCCCTCTTTCACAGGGGAACCAGACTCCTCAGGTAAATACTGGCTCTTCGCCCCAGGCATAACAGCCTCCTTCATCCCCTACGGCGCCTCCATCTCCAACCTCTTCATCACCGACAAGAACGGCATAGACCGTGACATCGTCCTCGGCTTCGACAACGCAACCTATTACTCTGTCGATCCAGTTCACCCTCACTTTGGCGGCGTGCCCGGCCGGTACGCCAACCGCATCAAGAACTCGACCTTCACCCTTGACGACGATGGAGAAGACTACCACATCCGTCCCAATGAAAACCCCACCGCAGCCCACCCAGCAGGTGTGAACACCCTCCACGGCGGCCCCGACGGCTGGGATCACAGAAACTTCACCGTCGTCTCCTACACCAAGTCATCCATCACGTTCAGCCTTGTCGACCCCGACGGGAAAGAGGGGTTTCCAGGGGAAGTAATCAGTTACATCACCTACACTTTATCAAACCGAACCTGGGACGCAAAAATGGTTGCTATTCCTACAACAAAGAAAACTCCAATCATGCTGTCTAGTCACACCTACTGGAACCTAGACGGGTTCGCAAACACGGAAGCTCCTACCGCGTTGAACCATACATTTTACCTCCCCTTTTCAGGGCAGACGGTGGCTGTGGATAGCATCCTCATTCCCACGGGGGAAATCTCCCCTGCCCCCAAGGGGTCCGTCAACGACTTCTGGTCTGCACCCAGACAAATAGGCGAGGGGTTTTCCCTTGAGGGGATCGAAGGAAACTGCGGGGGGGGTTGCACGGGTTACGACAACTGCTGGCTCGTCAATAGGAACTACCCCTACGATTGGAGGTCGGAGGACAAAATGGTGGCTAGTCTGACGAGTGAGTGGTCGGGAATAAAACTGGAGATTTGGTCGGATCAGGAGGCGTTTCAGATGTATAGCTGTAATGGGATGAACGGGAGCATGCCGATCAAGGCGACGCAGGGGAGGGATGACGGGACCGGGTCGAGAGGGGTGGAAAAGTACGGGTGTGTTGTTCTGGAGGTGCAGGATTGGATCGATGGGATTAATCACCCTGAGTGGGGGAGGGGACCAAAGCAGATCTTTGAGCCGGGGGGGGATCCGTATGTTTTGCAGGTGAGGCATCGCTTTAGCGTTGATGCTTGAGACGTAAATGGTTGAGAAAGGGGTCAGTAGGAAGCAGCCAGTATTGGAGATTTACATTGATAATGAAGACGAGATATATCCAACTTCTCATGAGCCTTTTTCACACCTAAAACATATAAGCGTGCTTACATCTGCGGAAGACCCTTGATACGCTCTCAACTTTACAATTGTCGGACCCAGTCAAGTAGTTGGCATCATCAAATCATTCTCTTTGTCTATAGGACAGGTATCATCTTTTTAAACAACTGAAAAAAACGCAAATTCCAATACCCAGAAACCAGCCACCCATGCTTTTCCCGTTTTCTATTTCCATAGCTCAAACATCATTCTCATAATTCTCAGTCTTCATGTCCAACAAACCCAACTCCTCCTCTTCCTCCTCTGTCCGCTCATACTCCTCGACGGTCATCTGCTCATCAGGCTCATCCGGGTTATCAGCTAAGCTCTGAACATAACTGGCCGCCAATGGGTCAGTCAACACAATGGTAAACTCCCTCTCGCCCTTGATGGCAGAATTGAGCCCATCAAAGAAGTCATTCCACCTCGACGCCTCGGTGCTGTCCAGAGAGTCGTTCTTGCGCTTAGTCTTCTCCACGTCGGCATCGGCCTCGAAGATTTGTTTGTGGAGGTCATCGCGGACCTGGGTGAGGAGACCCTCGACGGTGGTAAATCTTCCACCGAGGGTGCCTGGGTTGACGGAAAGGCTGAGCTCGGGGCACTCGAGCTGGCAGCTCTCGCTCTTGAGGATATCGCGGGCAAGATCCACAGGGGTCTTGATCTTGATGGTGACCTTCTTGCCCTTCTCAGGGACCTCACCACCCGTCTTGACGTCGTTGGACTTGTAACCGCAGTCATCACAGCTCGTGTTCATGATGACGACTTGTCTGAAGTGGGGGATGTCGACCATCTTCATGTTGGTCGTGCAGGGGTGCATGCAGCCCGGGCAAGAGGCTGGGAACTGGTAGACTTGATCGGGGATGATGTCGCCATTGTCGTCAAGGCCTTCAGTGTTGGTGTCGGCGAGACCGAGAGCCTCGTTCTGCTCAGGTGTACGGAGGTACTCGCCCTTCTCCCACTTGCCAACGCCGTCGCGAGGGTCAGGGGCGATAAAGCTGTTGCCAGCCGGGTCGTCGACAGACACACGGAAGGGGAACGCCTCTCCGGCGAGCATTTGTCTGCCCTTGGCAATGACTTCAGCAACTTTGGCGGCCGCCTCAGGGGTTTCCTTCATACGCTTCTCTTGGTCGAAGACGAGATCATCCACGATGGTGGTTAGGAGGCCCTCCACGTTCGTGAGCTGACCCTTGCCAGCGGGGACCTCGACATCGAGCTCGATAAACTTGACGGTGGCAGTGTCGGACTTGACAACCTGGCGCTGGAAGTCCTCCATATCTCTTAACCGGAGCTCGTAGTGGACACCCTTGAGCTGGAGGGTACCAGCAGGCTGGATCTCGTTGTTGTTGAAGCCGCAGTGGTCGCAGTTGAAGGACATGATGATAATCTCGCGGAAATAGGGAATCTTGGTGAGGAGGAGGCGTGTCATACCCTATGACCATGATTAGCATCGGCGCATTCGTTAATGTGCAACCATCGAAAGTTTGCGGCTCACATTCTCGTGGCAGTTCATGCAGAGGGACTCGATCTCATCGATGGGCTTGAAGTCATCCTCGGCCTCGCCATTGGCCTGGACGGCCTGCTCGACCTTCTCGCCGATAGGGTTGAAAAGCTCTGTCATTTTTGCTATTTTGGTGCTTTGTTTCGGTGGTGTTGATGGGATATGGCGAGAACCTGGGAATAAAATTTTGGAGGGGTAACTAACTCTGTGATAAAATCGTTCTTTGGCGGGGTAGTTGACCTGCCAAAACGGTTGTGCCCCACTATAGGTTCAGGGAGTCATGGAGATTATGTCATAACACTAGGCACAACCTGACGCTGCCCCAAGGTTCCGGAATGTTCCTATTTCGATAGCTGAGCCTTGGGACTCATTTCGACATGAAGTCGGCAAGGCTCAACCCAGGCGAAGGTCTTGAATTTTTGGATTGCTCCAACAGAGCTTGGAGACCCGCTTTTCGAGACCTGGCCCTCTTCTTGCTGTTCGCATTGGACGCTGGCTTCTGAGAGGATGTCGTCTCGGGTGAACCTGAAGTCTTGGGCAAAGATGGGGCCGCTCCCGGTGCCGTGGTCTTGGACACCTTGTGGGCCGGTTTGACAGTACGGCGAATGATGGGAGCCGGAGCCGGAAGCTTGATCTCGATTTTCGAAGAGCAATGGCCACACTCGATGCGCTTGGTTGGGCCAGATGACCGAGGTTCTTGCCTTTTCGCTTTTTCGACCTTGGGTGCCGGAGGTGTTTGCTGTTTCTTTTTGATCACTGCCTTTTTGTTCTTTTTGAAGACCAGGTCACTGCCCTCCCCGAAAGCCAAAATATTACCACAGGCCGTGCAAACATGCTGTCGTTGGACCTCAGGAAGAGGAACCTCATGCTCGAACATCAAGTCATTTCGCTGCCTGAGGATATATGCCGACGTCTCGGGAGCCGTAAAGGCTAAGAGATGACCTGCATCTGTCAAAAACTTCAGAGTCGGACTCGGATCAGTGGCGGCCATCTTCTCGGAATACTTTGTCGTCGACGACGAGGGCGAAGGTTGAATGAATATGGGTTGTGTTGTTGAAGTTTTAGTCGTGATTGATGCAAGACCCTTGATTGTAAATGTGGGTCCAGCGCCACAAGCCACAAGTTGAAATTTACGGTACTGTTGCAGGGTTGGTGAAGAATGGATATCGAAAGAATGCATTTTTGCCTCAGCCCTATCACGCTTTCATGCCGTGAAGGAGAAATGGAGTTTAGGATTATTAAAAAGCTTCAATAATTAATCTATCGGGGTTCATCCTCACCTATGAGTTTCTCTTATCACTCAACCCTCCACAGGCTATATGGTTAGCTTTACATTGCCTGCAAGGTCGTGGATCAAGCATCCAGCGGCAACTTCTACAGGATCTTTCTTTAACTCACTCAGAAGTGTTTGCTATTTCTTGTATGTAGCACGTTCCTGCCGAGCCTTGTTCAACCAACGAGCCGTCTATTTTTTGCAGCATTCGAGGTGTGCTCACCCACCGATCCCCCCGCACTGGAGCCATCCAGGATTACCCTAGAGTTATGCCATGCTAATTCAGGGGCGCTTTGTTCTGGACCCTTGGTCGTTCTCAGTGGGCAAAAAAAGATCACGAGATGCGCCTTGGACGACAGAAAGGGTCCAGCGGCTTGAACTCCCTTGACTAGCCGCTGCACAGGGTATTGAGTCACGAGACCTCCTTCCCTCCACGGAAAATTCTTCTGGATTTTGCCTGGTGCGACCTGCAAGAAAGCAAACTGTGCAGTGCATGTGCAAGCTGCAGTCGAGAGCTGACCCTACATGGAGTACCTTCTGTGTAAGTGGAGAAGTTGGAAGTTGGAGGGGAGCGGTGAGACGACCAACAAAAGGGTCAAGACGTTGTGAAGAGTCGAGATATTATATGCAAACATGAAGGATCGATCTTCAAGCTTGTGAAGAATAGAACCCTTCATAGCCGTATAAGTATAATATATGGAGAGAACTCCAACACCCTATAAAAACCAGGCTGTGATTGCTCGTGGTGGAAACCCAGCGGCTGGGTTCTGAGGCGGGAGGCGACAGGGGTCTGTCGGATGGTGGGGTGGCGATTGGCCAATCAGAGAGGGAGCTGGCGCCACTGATAGCTGCTGGACGATGTCACTGGTTCCGGCCTTCAACTGCCATGTATGTCTCGAGCAGCTTTCTTGCCATGTGCATTTGTCCACAGCATGAGCTCATGGATCGTCGCTTGTCGATGGGACTCTTATATCTTCCCCGTGGAAAACACGTGTGACGTGCGTGGCAGCTTGACCATCGAGGTTCCCACTCTTGTACCCATCAACGGCCATCACGGGATCGAGACTTCCCCTCTCCACTACATTCTTCATGCCGTGATTTCCTCCCTTCTCCTTGCTGATTCCATGACCTCTTTGTCTTCTCAAACACACAAGGTCTGCTTGTTGAAGTAGCCACGATAACGATACTTCCGACCGTTTGATTTTGTACGTTTCACCTGCTACCTCTGACATCGCAACTTGGAAACATCAGCGGATATATATAGCATTTTCTTTCCCAACACTCAGCCGCTGGTATCCCGCTCATAGCCAGCGTGGGATACGACCTGTGGGATCGTTTGGCATTTAATACCCCCTTTTTATTTTTGGCTGGCTTCTCATCGTCCAAGACGTACTTAGCAGCTACCACGCAATATGAAGTTTGGGAAAAAGTATGTATCTGCCTGCATTCGTGATTGCCCCTTACTTACACTTTTGCTTTCCTAGTCTTCCAAGAAACCAAGTCCCCGAGTGGGCAGGCTCTTACATCGACTACAAGCGCCTCAAGAAACTCATAAAAACAGCAGCCGACACAGCTGCCCACAATGGGGATCAAGTCGACTTGGCTGGTGGGTTCACTGATCCGCAACGCCCTTTCGTTGACCTCGTGATCTGACCCTTGGACCAACAGAGTTTCTGTTTGCCCTCGACCGCGAAGTAGAGTGCGTTGACCAGTTCTACACAAGGAAGCTCCACGAGAACCAGCGACGACTGCAAGCCATCACAGACAAATACGGACCAACACCTCGCGATGCCGCTAACATCGACGAGGAGGAGCTCGAGGATCTGATAGGAGCTTTACTCGAAATCAGAAACCAACTGAGGAATCTACAGTGGTTCGGAGAGATCAACCGTCGAGGCTTTGTCAAAATCACAAAGAAGCTGGACAAGAAGGTTCACACGTCGGATATCCAGGAGAGGTACATCTCTACCAGGGTCGACGTTCTACCGTTTGCCACAAATCTTGACACCAGCCAGGAGCTTCAGACAGTCAACACGTGGCTTTCGGTGCTCAATGAATCCAAAAACACCAATGACGCCAAATCCGACCGCTCAACACGGTCTTACGGGCGACCCACGAAACTGGACGTCGATACGTCAGTGCTCAACGCACTAGACCAAGCCGTCCGGCAAGATAATCTAGATGCATTGACGACCGGGTTAGCTGCTGCAAATCTCGCAAAACAAGATCAAACCGACGCTTTCCAAAACCTCCTGCGCAGCCTCCTGCAGCGCGCCATCTCGGCCCGGTCGAAAAAGGTCATTCCTGTGCTTCTGGAAAGGATTTCGGACCTTGATGATCCCGACGACATCAATGGGCGGAATTGTATCCACAGGCTCGTCACTCATATTGGCCGGACTAAGACCGTTTCTTCCAGAACCGTGGAGGAGGTGAAGCCGGATTCTCATTTGAACGCATACCCTTTTCCGCCGGGGGTTCAGTACGCCCAGAATTATCTTACCCCAGCGACGTCTCCTCTCACCACACCACGGGTGTCTGCTCTCAAGGAGACGGCCGGTCTCTTGAGCAAGGATGACGAGGCTGTGCAGATGCTCATGTACCTTTTGGACAATCTCAAGCCAGCACAAATGGTGGCTTTGAAGGCGAAGGATAACTTTGGACGCATTCCACTGCATTACGCCGCTCAGTTTGGCTTTGTGGTGGTGTGTCAGATTTTGATGAAGAAGATGCAGGATTGGGGCATGTTTGATGTCGAAAACGGAATCGACGCCCCTGAATGGCAGGACAAGAACGGAGAAGCACCTCTGCATCTCAGCGTCCTTGGTGGTCACGCTCTTACGACCAAGGCACTGCTTCAAGGGGAGAATTGGCAGGGTGTCAGTGATAACAAGGCGGAGATGAGACGGGCCATCTCAAAGTCGAGTGCTGTGTTGGCTATTGCCACCAAGGCGAACTTTGAGCATATTGTCGACATGTTGGTGCATGCGGGGGTTGACATCAACTGGCAGGATAAGACGGGGGAGACGGCGCTGCATATTGCCGCGAGGTTTGGGCATGATGAGTGTGCGAAGGTGTTGTTGGAGGGGACGGCGGATCAAAAGGCGGATTTTGAGTTGACGGAGAAGGCTTTTGCTTGGACGCCGCTGCATATTGCGGCGGTGGATGGGCATTTGTCTGTGGTTAAGCTGCTGGTGGAAGCCGGAGCTGAGGTGGACAAGCCGGATTCGTCGGGTTGGACGGCGAGGGAACATGCTGCTTTGAGAGGACATATGCCTATTGCTCACTTTCTTGCTGCTCAGAGCAAGGAGGGAGAGGACACGGCTAGCAATACTTCTGATGACGAGAAGTCGGTGACGGATAATGCGGCTGTGCCTGACAAGGCGTCGTTCCAGGAGAGACGGTCGAAGGGCTCTGCGCGCAAGGCGGAGCCGGTCAAGTCATTTGGTCATCGGTATCTCAAGGATGAAAGTCTGGTGCTGGTTAGCTTGGGCTCGATGGACATGCGGAAGAATCTTGAGGCGGTAAAGCTGGACAATATTCCGCTTTCGAAAGCACACACGACGGAGCTGGACACCACGTTGTCGATTGTAGTGTCGGCGCAAGGGGCTCAGGGCGAGCCAACTATGTTTGACTTGCCTGTTCACGACAACATCTCTACCGAGCCTGTCGTTTTTACTACGGTTGACGCCAGCAAGGTCAAGCTGTTTTTCGATATTGTTCCTACCTACTCTGGGAACAACGAGAATAAGGTCGGCCGTGGTGTTGCCCTGCTCTCGAGCGTTCGACCTACTATTGGGACCAAGAGGATGAACCTTCAGGGTGATGTCTGTGTGCCCATCATGGGTGC